TCTATCCGTCTATGGGATGTCAAAACAGGATAACAAAAAGTCAAATTAGATGGTCATACTCACAATGTCAACTCAGTCTGTTTCTCTCCTGACGGATATATATTAGCTTCTGGTAGTAGTGATAACTTTATTCGTTTATGGGATGTCGAAACAGGATAATAAAAAGCCAAATTAGATGGCCATAGCAATTATGTAAACTTTATCTGTTTCTCTCCTGATGGAAATACCTTAGCTTCTGGAAGTAGTGATAATTCTATCTGTTTATGGGATGTCAAAACAGGAGAACAAAAAGTCAAATTAGATGGTCATACTCACAATGTCAACTCAGTCTGTTTCTCTCCTGATGGATATGTATTAGCTTCTGGTAGTAGTGATAACTCTGTCCGTTTATGGTAGGTTAAAACAGGATTTTAAAAAGCGTAATTCATTGGGCATAGTGATAATGTTAGATCAGTCTGTATTTCTCCTGATGGAAATACCTTAGTTTCTGGTAGTAGTGATAACTCTATCCGTTTATGGGATGTCAAAACAGGAGAACAAAAAGTCAAATTAGATGGTCATATTCATAATGTCAACTCAGTCTGTTTCTCTCCTGACGGATATATATTAGCTTCTGGTAGTAGTGATAACTCTATTCGTTTATGGGATACATAAAAAGGATAAGAAATTTAAACATCTAATAACAATTATAAAGATATTTTAACAAAATTTAAAACAACCTTTTTTTAAAACACTCCTTAAGGTAAATATTATTCTTTCTAATTTAGTCACCAGAATTATAACTTTTCTTCTTATTACAAAAACACCAATATTTTAAGCATAAGGAGCGTTAATCATTTACGGAGATTTTGTAAATTTTAATGGTTACAATTTAAGATCATTATTTGAATCTTAAGGTAGCTTATTTTTGGAAAGCTTAATCTAAAAGTGAAAAATAATATTTTTAAGAGCATAACAAATTTTTTCATAACAATTTATCTTATATTATTTTTTAAGATGTGTTTATAGATACCTATTTTAGATCTGTATTTGATGCAATTCATTCTTTTTAATATTGAATTTCTATTACTCTAACTTTAAGTTATATACTGCAAAATTGATAACAGAAACTTATGAAATTTTTATAATAATAGTTCAAACTTTGAGTTGATTTGAAATTGATTTTAATTGTGTTAATATATTTATTGAGAACATTTGCATTCCCTGATTTTTAATAATATTTAATGACTAATATTTTATAAATAATCGAATTAATACTAAATTTGAGTAATAGGTCTGATTTCTTAAACACTCCTTGTTTATTATTTATTATTTATTGTGATTATTGGATTTAAATTTGTAGTGAAATTTTTTATTTTTCATAAAGAATTTAAAAATAACACCAGTCGCAGCCCTTGAAAAGCCACACAACATCAAATGCAACCCTTAAAAGCTTAGGGATAAAGTAAAATGGTTGATTTTCAAAAATTGCCTCTAGGATGAATGATGATATGAATGCGAGATGTTCATAATAAATCTTAGAATCAAATTAACTATTAATTGCTCTGCATTTTATAAAGATGTATTTGATTTTTTATTAATAGATTATTTGCAAAGGGGTAAATCGAAAAAGTACACCCCTCCATTAAAAATCCTTAAGGAAGAAGTGAAGATCTACTTTTTAGAGAGGTCAACATTACTTTGAAACCAAAAGAGATTAAATACTGAGACCCTTACCATTTATCTTAGAATTGTAACTTTTATTGAAAAAGTGTAAGATAATGCTTTGACTTTTTTATATAAGTTATTTTATAAAATATTTGAATGAAATATTTCAAAAAGTAATTGTAAGAATTTGACAATACTCCCCTCTTTAAAAACCTCAGGGCTAAGATGAAAGATGGACTTTTTGGAAAGGTCAAATTTGTTTCTACATTTATTTAGAAACTATAAGAGATACATGTGTGAGAACTTCACCATGAATCTTAAAACAGCACCCTCTATTTATTTATATATGATATATCAATAAATATTTTGATATAAGAATTTCATTTTGTGATGAAATATTTTCTTAGGTCTGAACTTTAAATTTAAAAAATGGCTAACATACTTTTTTCCATTTTGAAGTATTATCTTTAATTAGAGTAATAGAAATTCAATATAAAAAATAAAATACAATGAATCACACTTGTTAAGAGAATAAAGCTTTAATTGACAATTTTGCTTAAATTAAAGATGTAGATGAACAAATATTTGGTGTCATATTAGAAATATTTAGAAATGGGAAAGATTTAAACTGCATAGAATATCTTTAAGATAATGAGAATCAAAAATATTTAGAATAATAAATCTTACAACAAATAGAGAATTTAACACAAGTTGATACATTATAGAAACTGTCTGTTGTTAGAAATCACATGAAACTAATTACTGATGTCTTAAAAAATTTAAAAGATCATGACTTCAATTACAAAGACTATTCTTGCAAAGAAAATTAAGAATTTCCATCAAGCCTAATTAATAGCATCAAGGATAATAGATAGATCATTGAGTTTTTGTAATTTTTAGTTCACCTTACATCTATAGATTATACTTTAATTTAATGTGGGTCAAATTCATTATATTTATTAGTAAAGATGTAGGTTGATCTTAGAAACAAAAATTTTGAAAATATTAAGATCGAAAATACTTCTTTGATGAGATCTAATTTCGTTCAATGCAATTTAAGTGGATCATAATTTAATAATGTTAATATAAGTGGGATTAATTTGAATGGAGCTATATTATTTAATTGTAAATGGATGAACCTAAGAATTCACGAATTGAATAAATTAGACGGTCATAGAAATGTTGTAAGATCAGTCTGTTTTTCTCCAGATGGAAATACATTAGCATCGGGTAGTGATGATAAGTCGATCTGCTTATGGGATGTTCAAACAGGATATTAAAAAGCCAAATTAGTTCATACTAGCTCAATCATAACAATCTGTTTCTCTCCTGATGGAAGTATATTAGCATCTGGTAGTTATAATAAATCTATCCGTCTATGGGATGTCAAAGCAGGAGAATAAAAAGCCATTTTGGATGGTCATAGTGGAATTATCTACTCAGTCTGTTTCTCTCCTGATGGAAGTATATTAGCATCTGGTAGTTATAATAAATCTATCCGTCTATGGGATGTCAAAACAGGAGAATAAAAAGCCATTTTGGATGGTCATAGTGGAATTATCTACTCAGTCTGTTTTTCTCCTGATGGAAATACATTAGCTTCTGGTAGCGGTGATTAGTCTATTCGTCTATGGGATGTTAAAGTTAATAAAAAAATAGCAAAATTAGATGGTCATACTAGCACTGTATACTCTGTCTGTTTCTCTTCTGATGGAAATACATTAGCTTCTGGTAGTTATGATAGGTCTATCCGTCTATGGGATAGAAAAACAGGATAATAAAAAGCCAAATTAGATGGTCATGATGATACTATTAGATCAATTTGTTATTCTCCTGATGGAAATACATTAGCTTCTGGTAGTTGTGATAAGTCTATCCGTCTATGGGATGTCAAAACAGGAGAATAAAAAGCCATTTTGGATGGTCATAGTGGAATTATCTACTCAGTCTGTTTTTCTCCTGATGGACATACATTAGCTTCTGGTAGTTATGATAGGTCTATACGTTTATGGGATAGAAAAACAGGAGAATAAATTTCCAAATTAGATGATCATAAATATTAGATCAACTCAGTCTGCTTCTCTCCTGATGGATATGTATTAGCTTCTGGCAGTAGTGATAACTCTATCTGCTTATGGGATATCAAAACAGGATAACAAAAAGTCAAATTATATGGTCATTC